ACTTGTTTTAAAATAATATATTAAAACAAGTCAAACATATATATAAATGTTTGTTACACTGTTAGCTACCACAGTTGTATCTGGGGCTTTAAATAATCATCTGTTTTTCCTCAAAGTCCACACAGGCTAGTTCAGTTACTTTAGAACACAATTTGACAAGACAAATTATTCTTCTCTACTCTATTATTACCACACAATCTGTGATAATTTCACTCTGTCAGCATGTACCAGTTTCCCTTTTCACATACAGGTGCCAGTGGTCTGATCAAGTCCACAGCTACTCTGCTGAACGGTTCTTGGCTACCTTTCCTTTGGTAGATGTCACATGACCTGCAGATTCTGGTCACATCTCCGATGATTCTCCGGCAACGGAAGTTGCTGGTGATTGTTTCTGACATCTTCTTCACTCCTAGGTGTCCTCCCACAATTGACTCGTGAGCCAACTTCATCACTTGAGACCAGTATTCTGTAGGTACTATGATCTGTTTAGCTTCCCCAGTAGAACTGCTTTGATAGATCTGGTACAGTACTCCTTTCCAATCCTCTATTTTGTAAGTATTTTCCCCCTTGGTCTTGTGCTCGACTTTATCTCGAGCAGTGTCTCAAAGTTTCTGCAGTGATCTCATCACTGTAGACCTACATTCAGGATGTCAAATTACGAGATTTGCAGGAGCTTGATGTCTTGCTTACTTTTCTTTTCTTGAGCTCGTGTGATGACTACAGATGCCCCAGTCTCCTTTTTGTCAAGTTCCGCCAAATTTCTACTGCCTGGTATATTGCCAATCACCAATCATAGATGGGCACCTTCATACACATAATCTCAAGGTCTCCCATATAGTATGGAGTGTCCACCTTTATTCTTGCTACAGAAGACTTTCTCACTGCAATCAGCACACAAAGATATACCTTGTCTATCATCTGATCATCAGATTCTAGACTGGTTCTCACTGCTGCACCCAGTGTCTCATAGGACTTTCACTTTCTTGTCCCCAACATTGTCTTCACCTACTAGCATGTTGTAATTTGTTGGCACTTCTCAATGTTTGTCACGTGCTCCAATCACCATTGGCACTGTTGATCTATTCAATAACTTGATCTGACCATCATTCATGCACTGTTTATCATGGAGATAGCACTTTTGTGGTGAATTTGATGAGTTGTCTCTATTCTGTTTCTTCTGGCAGCAACATCCATGGTGACAGTCATTCTTTTCTTGTTTCTTACTAGCACCATCTTTATAGATAGCTCCAACTGCTTTCTGTTGAAATTTCTGCTGCTGCTTAGTGGTGACAAACTTGCAATTTCATGCAATGTGTCCCATTTTATAATAAACATAGCATCTCTGTGCTTTCTGTTGAGATTTCTGCTGTTGCTTGTTGGTGACAGACTTGCACTCACTCGCCATTTTACATCATTGAGTTCTTGTCACCATTGGTGGTATCCTGTTTTTGGTCAACCGCCCCTGGTTTCGACCTTAACAGATTATCCTTGAATTTGCCAGTTATACTTCCTCCATGGACTTCCATATATTGTTCTGCCAGCTTGATCATCTTGTCCACGTCTTTCAGTGCTCTCTCCTTTCGGAACAGTGACATATCAATGGAGCATATGATCATGAGCTGTTCACATTTTAGTAGATCTGCCAGTCCTTTAAAACTATTTTCACATTTTGCCATGTCAGTCCATTTTATGAAGTATCCCATAGTCATGCCACAAACTGAAATACAGTTTCTCCGATGTCAGGTT